TTTGATATATTGATTGACACATCAACATATATTTGTAAGTATTAGGACCATATGAAATTACTCAAGCCTTATCTATTCTTGTGTCCATTCTCTGGGTCCCTCAATACACTTGATCCTAGTCAGAGAGCGCAGTAAACAATTGAGGATGAGATCTTAGACATTATGGCCCCTTGATTTAATCTTTGATTCTACTTGCTATAGCATTGAGAGAGATATTTTATAGTTGAGGCAATGAATTTTTGACTCTGACTTCCAGAAAAATCAGCCTCCCATCCTTATAATAGTGGTTTGCCCAGTAGGCTTTTTATCCCATTCAATTATCTAATTGACATTGTGTGAAATGAATTCGATCTGCACATTTTCAAGACTGAATAGAACAAGGAATCCACATTCTGTACAAATAATGTGCAACAGTCTTAATGTCTATTATCAAAAATTTAAATAGATCTTATGCTATGATTTATTCAGCAAAAAAGGGCTTATCACACTTATTGAATCCGATTGCATTTGTACAGAAAAGGAATAAGAAATGGATAATTCATCATGTTCTGAAATACAATACTTTTGTGTTGTCTTGAAATTGTTGTACACTGGTAAATTGTCACAAATATATACAAATTCAACAAACTACAAATGTATTAATAGATAGGCAGTGGAAATGGATTTTATGTGCCCCTCCTATTGCTAAAAATGTGTTCTTCGACATTGGAAAGATAACTGTAGGGCCCCAATAAACACCTGCTGTTTTTGCAATTCATGAATATTTATTAATGAATTACTTAAAGATAATGTGGATAATATGCTTCACAATGAAATATGCTCATCTACTGTAACTTCTGAATAAATCTTTACATGCACATATACATATGTAAAAAGCCTTTATATACTCTCATACTCACACAAACACAAACACTCATATAAAACACTTTTTGTTATTACTGTTGCCCCCCTTCCCCCCCCCTACTATTTTGCTTCTTTTTAATTAAGTAAAGGGCAAAAGGACTTGGCCCATTATGTATGTGCCACAGTGGGGATCTTTCTCTTTAGCAATTACTGAAGCATATTCAACTGCTAAAGCACAGCAGAATCCATAGCAAAGCATGATGAATCCAAAATGATGACATGTGTCTGGTGACATCATCAGACAAATGCCTGATCCAAGTGCACTGAGTCATAGTAGTAGTATGATGATGTGTGCTCATCCTCTATATTTATCACAGGAATGTACAATCAGTTCCCGGCTCAACTTTCCCTGTTTTCCTGAGCCATTTTCATCATAACTGTGTGCCCATTTTGTCTGGTTTGATGCATTAATTTAATAATACCTTTGCTATCTAACTGTCGTAAATCCTATTGGAAAACATACTTCCCGAATCATCTCTTAAAATAGGAAGGAATGGCTAAGTCTTGTTCCACAGGTGGTCCTTTACTTACGACCACACTTAAGCCCAAAATTTCTATTGCTAAGCAAGGCAGTTAAGTGAGTTTTGCCCCATTGTATGATTTTTTTTTGCCAGAGTTACTAAGTGAATCATGTGGCCATTAAATGTACCCGGCTCCCCCATTGACTTTGCTTGTCAGAAACCAACTGGGAAGGTTACAAATAACTCCAGAACAGTGCAGCTGTCATAAATTGCAGTTTATGGAGTTTATGAATGCCAGTTGCCCAAATTTTGACCACGTGACCTTGAGAATACAGAACAGAATAACAGATTTGGAAGGAACTTTGTAGGTCATCTAGTCCAACCCCTGGGCCAAGCAGGAGACCCATCATCATTTCTGATAGATGGCAGTTCAATCTGTTCTTGAAAGCTTCCAGTGATGAAGGCAACTTCTGTTCCATTGGTTGATTGTTCTGCCAGAAAAATTATCCTCATTTCTAGGTTGAATCTCTCCTTGGTCAGTTTCCATCCATTATACCTTGTCTGGCCTTCAGGTGCTTTGGAAAATAGTTGATCCCCCTCCTCACTCTGAGAGCCCATCAAGTATTGGAACACTGCTATAATGTCTTCCCTGATGCTTCTCTTCACTAGACTAGCCATGCCCAGTTCCTGTTGTCAACTTGCAAAGCATGACCTTAATAAGGGCATCAGTTGGAACCCTGACACCTGTAACCATTCTTCGTATGTTTTAGTTCCAGTCCAGTAGTGGGTTCCGGATCCCGTTGCAACTGGTACAGTGCAACGGGGCTGGGCGTCCACCACATGAACCTGTGCAGCGCGTGTGCATACTTACTGCCTGCAATGCTCCAGCTGCTTGGCCAAGCATTGTGCAGGCGCTGTATGCTCTGTGCGCATGTGCAGAAGCCCTGAAAACCTCAAATACCGGTAAGGAGCACCCGCGGGTGGGCCTCCGGAGCACTCTACTGGAACGATACCTGGTACTCCCGACAGGTACCAGTACACCCATATCGGGGCATAACCCACCACTGCTCCAGTCCCTAATCATCTTTGCTGCTCTTCTCTGCACTCTTTCTAGAATCTCCACATCTTTTCATAATGTGGTGACCAAAACTGGATGCAGTATTCTAGGTGTGGTCTTACTAAGGCTTTATAGAATGGTATTAGTACCTCATGTGATCTTGCAACTTAGGATGTTAATGCAATTTAGGATTGCATTGGCTTTTTTAGCTGCCGCTGCACACTATTGGCTCATATTTAATTGGTTGTCCTCTAAGAGTCCAAGATCCCTCTCACAATTACTGCTATTAAGTCTGCCTTCTCCCAATCTTTATGTATACTTTCGGTTTTTCTTACCTAAGTATAAGACTTTACTTTTCTCTACATTGAATTTCATTTTGCGTTAGGGCCCAATATTCAAGTGTGTCAACCTAACATCTTGGCTATCCTGCCAGTTTAGTGTCATCTGCAAATTTGATAAGTTCCCCTTCTATTCCCTCATCTAAATCTTATGAAGATATTGAAGAGTAGTGGGCCTAGGACAGAACTTTGTGGTACCCCACTGCTTACTTCCCTCCATGTTGTACTGCAATGGTGTGTGTGAAAGTGTGAAAATCGATTATTTTGATATAGCTTTACACTGAGATGCAGTAGAAACAAATAAATAATGTGCCTTTGTATTTCTCAGAATGGAATAATTAATTTACTGTACTATTTGAATAATTTGGGGTTTTTTTTCATCTTCCTCCACTGTTTTATTTAATTCTGTGTAATACATAACAAAACAAGTGGCGTATGACTATAAATACATTTTCTTACTTATTATTGGGTTTTTCTTCCAAGGAAGGCTCCCCTTCCTTTCTAATATAGTATATACGCCAATGCAAATTCCTTTTAAAATTGGCAATGCTTTTAATATACATGTGTATTCTTCATGCCACAATCCTCTCCCCTGTTTTACAATGTTGTCATTTTGTTTTGTATTTTCACTGTGTTTTGTTTTGGCAACTGATCAAGTAATTGTTTATTGGAGGCAGATTTTTAATGACCTTATAAATAAATGCTCAAAGCGTGTTGCACCATTTACATACGGGGAAGAAATAGTGGGTCGACGTAGGGACAGCTTTGAAGTGAGACTTACAATTGTTTCCTATCCCGGGAGACAGCAGCCCTTGCAAATGACCTCGCTTTACTGCCTAGCTTCATTGTTGGTACCATTAAAGTTGACACAACATTGGAAAGGGCATAATTTGGTACACTTTTTGAAGTTTCCACCGAACAACCCCCTCCTGCCCATAGCAAGAAGTTCAAGAGTCCAAGTTAGCCAGAAAGACCAGTTATTTGCCCTGGAAATTCACTCGGGTGCAGATGAGATGCTTGATAATTCAATACTCAGGGAAAAAGCCTTCTGCACATGCTTGAAATGATTCACCTGTATTCTAGCAAGGAACTATTTCTTTTTAATGGGACAAAGATAAAAGATCATGGAGTCTCTTGACTTTTTATTCCCAAAGCTGGTATTTCTGCCATGAGGCTGCAGAGAGGGAGAGAAATTGGATTATATCTTCAGTGTGGTTGATAGATAGTTGCCCTGGCTTTTCTCCACAGCTTTACTAGATCTAGACACTACTCTTTCCCTCTGCAGCTCCTTTCCCCTTGCAAGCTGGACAGGCTAGGGCCTGTCTTAGTAGTGATACATTGGAAGTTCTCCTGAAAGCCTTTCTGCTAAACTGCAAGGTAAAAAAACATTCGAAACAAACAAAGTTTTGGAATACATGTGTGAACTGGAAGATGCAAGGATTCCAGAACCACCCTATCGAGATAAGACATCTGAACAATGGCTTGCTTTTTATTTCCGGCTGTCTCCTTGGCTTTTTTAACTGCCTTGTACCTGAAGAAATAAAACACTTAATAGGCAAACAAATTCCAATCTATGTTTCCCCTGTCATTCAGTTTGCTGTAGCACCATGATAATGATGATATAGTGTAATGTTTCTCAACTTTAAGATATGTAGACTTCAACTCCTAGAATACGTTAGCCAGATGGCTGTTGAAGTTCCCATATCTTAAAAGTTGCCAAGGTGGAGAAATATTGATTTAGTGTTTTAAAAAGCTATTTTGCATACCTTCTTTATTTACAAGAGAGTTTTTTAAAATTTCACACCTTTATATTTCATTTAACAGGGAATTTTTCAGAATGTAAAGACAAAAATTAATATTTACCCAACTACACATTGGGTGAATCTTTATCTGCTGTTGGAAACACTTACTATCCTTACCTGCCTGTCATTTCTTTGCTTTTCCTTCCTCCTTCCCTCCTCTCCACAAATCCCATACCTTCCTTATGACTCTGCAGAGGCAAGAAAATATGTTTTTAGCTCTTGGCAATTACTAAAAGACATTTGATGGTAAAAATGATCTAAACGCAGGTCTGGTCTACCTGAGAGGAAATGGTGTAAAAAAGTTATTCTTCTTAACACCTCAACCAATGAAACAACACTTTTCTTTGACCACACCTATCTGGCCGGCAGGTGCATAAAAAGAAAAAAGGAACCGCTCCAGAGCATTAAGTAACTGCTGAAGAGCTGGGACTTGACTTCTCCCCTTCCTGAATTCCTGCCACTTCTCCAGTCTATCTTTGGAAATTCACCAGTCATGCTTTTTTGGCATAGTCAACCTGATCATTACTGGCCAGGTCCGGGAGAAATGTATCCTTGCCCTGGCAACAATATCATAAGGTGAGCAGCTTCTTTTTTCACCCCTCCCTTTCTAGCTATGCTAACAGCTGAGATCGCCAAGAAGAAGAAAAAGCATGCAAGCAAATGTACTTGTTCGTGCAATGGGACACACGAAATAGTTGCAGTGATTCAGCTTCCAGAATTTTGCTTATTTCAAGAGAATGTCTGGAAAGCTCACAGTCAGACTATCAGAGAGGATGAAGACTTTGCTACATTTTGCTCCCACTCTGTTCTCAGTACTTTGTATGCCGAGCTGTCATTCTACTCACATAGGATTTGCATGGTGCTATGCTAGATAGTTGCTATAAAAAGATTTCTCATCCATAAGTTGGTCTCTTCCAAATTTAAATCACTTAAACCCAAGTATCACTGTTTTTCCCATTCTGTGGTTAAATGAGGGGAATGAAGTATTGGCATCAGAGACAGATTAAGAAAAAAGAATAATGTCACATCTTAACAATAAAAGAGTTGGAAGAGACCTTGGAGGTCATCTAGTCCAACCCCCTGCTCATGCAGGACACCTATCCTAGGGATTTGAACTGCTGACCTTTCTGATCGACAAAAGCTCACTGTGTTAGCCACTGAGGCACCTCTAGCCAGGCATCTTGTCAATTTCTTTGGTATAAGCTAACATAAGTGACAGATCTTGTTTTGACCCTGTTCATGTTTAATTTCTGGAGACAGGTAGGTAGCTTAAGAATGACACAGCAGGGAGTGTGGGGCCCATCTTTGTTCTGCTACTACTTGAGAAGATCATACTCAACATCCAGCAGGAGCTGGATTTTGCTCAGAGGCTAACAGCAGAACTTTTCTTAATTCCATTCAAATTTCTTCACTGCCATCCTTTTTAGTATCCTGTTCTCTGGAATTGTTATTCCACCTCCCTCCCTCCCTCCCTCCCTCTTTCTTTCTTTCTTTCTTTCTTTCTTTCTTTCTTTCTTTCTTTCTTTCTTTCTTTCTTTCTTCCTTCCTTCCTTCCTTTCTTTCTTTCTTTCTTTCTTTCTTTCTTTCTTTCTTTCTTTCTTTCTTTCTTTCCTATCTGTTTTGTATTCCATTTAATGGAATTTAATTTCCCAACTGTTTAGTTGGGAAAAATAGGGGCTAAGTCAGTGGTGGATTGCAGGCGACACGCCCCGGTACGAATGTACCGGTGCCTGCTGGAAGCAGCACCCACCGTACCGGAATGGTGCTTTGGAGGGCCTGCCCACCCACCCTCATTCCTTACCTGTATTTGAAGGAAATGGGCCATCTGCACATTTGTGTGCAGCATACGGCACTTGCACAATGCTCCACCGAGCAAATAGAGCATCACAGGCAGTGGGTACGCATGTGTGCGCAGTGGCATACCTGTGATGCACGCCCGGCTCCCATTGCAGTGTACCAGTTGCAATGGTAGCTGAAACTCACTACTGGGCTAAGTGTTAAAGTATCCTCTTCTACACAAATATCAAACATGCACAAGCCCTTGCAGCCTTTTTAAATTTGGCACTCTCACTTACTGTTCATTACAACTACTCTTCTTCCTTATAAGACCTCCAGCTTCTGTAGCCAAACCTCCTTTCACTAGCTCATTTTAATGGCATCTCAAGAGGAAGAGGTGCCAGTTGAAGTCCAGAATTGCGGCCATGCACCAAAACACTTGTATATATAAAACAACCATTTCACTTTTGAGAGCTCAAGGTCAGAAATGCAATCCCAGAGCAGCATGAAATGTTTCTGCAAAGTACATTAGGTAGATAGCCATTGGCGCAAGGCCACCCTATTGTTAGTAATTTGGCTAGACACATTTGCAAAACCCTTTTTGTGATGCAGCCTTTTTACATGCAATGGAAAACTGGGCTTCTCAATAGCTTATCTGTGGAAACAGGAAGAGAATATTCTCCCTTTTTACTCTTCCCTTTCGAAATTGTTGCTTGCTCCTAATGGCTAATACTGGTATATATTGTGATAAAGGCTAATTACATATTTTACAGTCAAACAACGTGCACTTGTAAAATTGGCACTAACAATGTCAATGCAGAACAGAACGTGAAAGAGAACTAATTTTAAAGTGAACAAGCCAATGTAGACTTAGCATTCAAATTATGGTTAGTTTAAGACATTATCATTGTACAATATTACAGGTAGACTTGAAAAATTTATTTGGGCTTTTACTAAAACTGCAAGATCTGCTGATCCAATATGGATACCAAATAAAGACCCCACCGGCATTTGTGATATGCTAAAAATGCAGTGCCTCTGGGCAATTCCTCAGCTGAGGAATTTACAACTAGTGGAGAATTCAGAAGGGAAGATTGTTAACATGAACCAACCAAGGATTAGAAAGCTGCAGTGATCTACTACCTCCTGCTTATTTGCAAAAGGAAAAAGAAAAAAAAAAGATGCAAAAAATAACGAGTAATCTTGGAGAAAATGCACTTTGTAACTCTTCCTTTCGTCATCCTGCCATTTAGCTACTATGACGGTATTTACAGCAAGACCTCACAAAAGCTAATTGCCTTTTAAAAGGTTCTGAAGACATGTTGTTTGTCATCATAGTTGGGAATCCAGTGATGTGGAGTCTGTTAAGATGGTTGTGTTGATTGACATATGGCCTGTAACTTCCTGCTGATTATCTTTTTGGGTTTTAATGGTGTTACTTATTGTGTTTTGTAATCTGTTTATTATTTTATATTCATTTTAATTATGTGAACTATCCAGAATCACAAATGTGAGATGGATGGCTGCACAGTATATATCTGCAGTAATTTCTTAACTTCTGAATGTATTATCATTTAGAACTTTAGTTGAAAAAATCTTTCTCCCCCCCCCCTCACACACACCAGTCTTCCTCTTGGCAAATCCTACTTCCAGAAGTTTTCATTGGCAAAATTTTGGAATTCTTTGCCATTGCTTGCTTCCTAGAGCCGAGGAAGAGTGACTGCTCCCAGCTGTCTTTATGCCTAAGGCAGGATTAAAACTCAGTTTTGCAGGTTGTAGTCTGATGCTTTAACCACTACACCAAAGTGGCATTCTTATGTCTCTTATCCATACCTTTTTTGCTATTGTAGAGAGCCACTGTCACTGCCATTCCTAAAGCAGGAGGAACCAAACATCTCAACATCAGCTGAGCAGCATTGCCCATCTTTCCAGTATATTCTGTGTGCTGTTACCTCTCCAGCTGTCAAACAGCATGAGGAAACTCTCACTTATCTCAACCAAGGTAAGATTTTATAAATCAAGGGAGGTGGTGCAGGAGAAAAACTGACCAAGTTCTACTTAAAAGCTGCCCCCTAGTGGTAAACATAATGCATTAGAGGCAGGTTCCACTGCCTAAATAACATTGTGACACAAAAATGACTGGATTCATACACAGAAACCGCAAGCAAAGCCTCTACTGTTGGAAGAGAAAGGTGAATTACAGACCTTTCATGAACTGACAGCTGAACCAGGTAACAATAAGGCTTTCAACCATTTAAATCCTAACACATTGCAAGATTGATTGCCTTTCTAATTAAAAGCTAAAGGTTGCATTTTATCCAGCAGAAGATCTTTTGTTAGAACTATATACTGTGTTTACACAATATGCTTAATCTGATTACTGAATTAACTCATTGTCAAGGCTTGCACAATATATTTTACCCAAAACTAGCCACATGGGTTGGGTCTGCACAATGTGTTACTTCTTTTTGGCTGCCTTAACACTAACGTAGCATAGCATGGGTGTAAGAATGCATGGTGCATTTTAGCAACTGAATTTAGACATATAAAAATAAATTCTACTGAAACATATTATTTTCACAAATGTTTTTTGTGTGTGTGTGTGCTGTGAATATGTTCATATAAATCAGTGTTTCTCAACCTGAGCAACTTTAAGATGTGTGAATTTCAATACCCAAAATTCCCTGCTGACCTTGAAGTCCATACACCTTAAAGTTCTTAGGTTGAGAAAAATTGATATGGGGATGGGAAGAGATCATTTTAAAAGCAAAATTATAGATGATTTGTGGAGGTGAGGTTATGGATTGTTATTGGTTGGATCAAGACTAAGATCAAATTACATTTAAGATTAACAGTAAAATAACTGAAATATTTATGCTTCTATGTGATGTGAACTACGCCATCATGCTTGGTGAATTTATGTCTTAGTGCAATCATGGGTTATTCAAGTATGATTAAGCAAATCATAGCTTAGCACCATTTTACAGGCCGGTCCAACTGGCGGCCTGCGGGCCCAATGTGTTACGCGCAGCCCATACCCACCCCAACTCCACAAAAGCAAAAAAAATCATGGTATGTCATGATACGTCATGTGATGCGATTGAGTTGACATCTGTGATTTAAGAGCTCCCCTACTTCAAAACATACCCACCATTTTTAAATTTATAGACATTTAAATCCATCATAATAAAATGAAGAGAAAATGATAAACTAATATTCAGCTATAATGTTTTTAATAGTTCTTTTTGTTTTTTTAAAGAAGCGGAAATTTGGGAATTGTTAAAATAATTTTATATACTTTCTAGGTTACTATTAATTTCTCAATGATATTCTGAGCGGTAATTTAGATTCTCGGTACTCCTTCATTCACTTACTTGCATATTTCTCTTCTTCATTTGAGAATGTATTAGAAAATAAACATGGAAAACTAAAAGATGATATTTTGGATTTTGAGGCAATGTTTGGCATATTTGGCCAATCTCACATTCCACGTGCTGTATTATTATTTTCCAGGGCAATCATATGAAATCCGGATGCTGTGTAATCCCAAAATAGGTGAATTTGCTGAGGGGCGGAAGCTGCTGAAGGTAAAGCATAGGATAGGAGAACTGATTGGCATTTTTGAAAATTGAGTCCTCATGAAGCTTCATCTTGTAAGAAACCATAGAACTCATTCACACAACATATCACAATTTTTCTAAAAGATCCAATTCACTATCTATGGAATAGAATCCATAATTAATCATTAATTCCCAGAGAAACAATTGTTTTCTTCAAAAACTCTCACCTCCTGGATATTCTCATCATGGTTTGCTTGCAGAGTTTGTCTGAAGAAAACCTTCTTCAATAGATAGTGGGCTGAAAATTAATCAGAACAGAACTTTATATAGTTCAACCAATTCAGTGTCTTTGAGGCAAAAGTCACAGAGTCCAGAAATTCATTCCCACTAACATTTCTTTGGTCTGATGAGTGAGGCAACCATTAAATCTAATTAAACCAATCTCACAGTACGTCTCCTATGTGCAGCCTAATGAACGACCAGTTGTCTATGACCCAATGCAACACTCTGGTGGTAGAAATGGAGTAAAAAAAATATTGTCTCTCTCTCTCTCTCTCCCCCCGCCCTCTATCTTGATCAGAGTGTAATCAGAGTGGTCTTCCATGACCGAAGACTGCAATACACAGAACACCAGCAATTAGAGGGATGGAGATGGAACAGGCCAGGTGACCGCATCCTGGATATTGGTAAGGTATATTTTCAAAGAGGGAGGAGTGATATTATCTACCTGTGCTTTCATAACAATCTTCCAAAGAGTTTGTAATTGTGAGAATGCCTGCTCTGAACACAGAGAAATAGATCAATCCAGTGGTGGGATTCAATTTTTTTTACTACCGGTTCTGTAGTAGATACTGCAAAATCCCCATTCCCTCCCAATCAACTGGGACTCGGGAGGCAGAGAATAGCAATAGCAATAGCAGTTAGACTTATATACCACTTCATAGGGCTTTCAGCCCTCTCTAAGCGGTTTACAGAGTCAGCATATCGCCCCCACATTTTACCCACCTCGGAAGGATGGAAGGATG